TTTAAATACCTACAGAAATTGTGTTTCCATCTACATGAATGGTATAGATTAGGCAAGATCACTACAGAGCTCAGTGATTTAATAAAAAGTCAAACAACTCTCAGTTCTTAGTGGCCTTTGTTAAAATAGACTGTACCCCCTACTGGATATCAGAGGATGGATAATCAGAGGATATCAGAGTCTGTGGAAATCTAATAAAACATAAACAGTGTATTCGCTATTGGAATGAAAAGTAGCAAACCAGGACTGTTTCCTTGCAAAAAGGATATCTTAAAGCTTTCTAAGTACTTAGTACATTTATGCTTTGGTAATGTTAATATCTCTCGAGAAGTGAAACTCCAGTGAACCTTTAGAATAAAAGCAGAATACAAGGGATAGGTGGACATTATACCACGCTGAACTTAAAATGACTTTGTAGAAGAAACTTCTGTCCTTTTGAGTATTAGATATTATTAATTAGTATTAATGAACCTTGACAGCAAAATGGGTTTGAATCAATTTTCACCATCTCTATATGTTCTGGGGACTTTTTAGTAGAAATGAGAATGAAAATCATGGCACCTTGTAGTGTAAATGAATCAAATGTGCCTATTCTCCTGGTATGTCTGAAATATTGTTTCTGAATTGATTTGTCAGATACAGCTGTGGTGCTCAGAGCTGCTAAGTTACTAGATAGAACATTAAAAATATGCTGCAGAATTTTGCCAAGAGCATAGGAAGAAACAATGGAAACAAAACAATGGGAAGAAACAACATACTCTATGGGGGATTATATCCTTGCAAATTCATTCAGGTATAGCCAAGAAAGAACTGAATTTTAAGGCAAAGCTAGTTAGATAAAATATTAATTCTGTAAGTACTAGTTTTAGAACCCATATGAACATTGTATAATGACAAAAAAGTTCTTCTGTTTTCAAAGATAAGAAAAAGTGCCTAACAAGTGCCCACAGGTCCTTTTGCATGTACCACAATTTGAAGAGGGCTGAATCTCTTCATCTGCTTGTCAATTAATGTTACATTTGAGAAAGAGCTCCCAAGATCTGCCCAGCATATTCAGGCCCAAGGTATTCCAGATGAGATAGGTTTAGGGTTGTTGGTTACAGGATGCAAACATAAAAAGATTTGCACATCTCAAACTTGCTGATATTAGCATTGTATCAGATGAAATGAAATGTTTTTTTAAAGGAGACTTTATATTTGAGCTGATTTCCCTATTGATGATTAGATCATCCTCACAGCCACTTCAGTGTTCTATTAAAGTATTTTCTTAGGAACAAACTGCTACTTTTAGGGTCAGAACAAGTAGAGGGCTATATTCTTGGATAGGATACTCCTGCTCCCCAACGCTCCAAATCAAATCTGCTTCTCCCCACATAATTTTATCAAAACTGTGGCTTCTTTGTCACAGTAGGTTATAATATTGCCAAGATGGAAAAGTGGTGTATCCAGAGAAGTTATGGAGAGATTAATGTCAGTCACATTCAGCCCAGCCTTAGATTTCTAAAATTTAACATTCCAGTTGCTCCCTTTAAATTTGTGAGAAATAGCTTGTGTTTGACCTTCAGGTAAATGCAGGAGAAATAATTCTCAATTCCCAACCTCCATTCTTGTTTACGATGACTCAGTGAGTTGTTAATCAGATGCAGTGTAAGAGATTAGACCTTTTGCACATGGCCTGTTTTTGGACTAGAGATGGGTGAGGCATCTGTAATGTGTGTACTTGCAGATGATGGAAACGTGTTAAAGATGAAGTAGCCCCATGTAGAGATTAGGCCTGTCTGAGTATTTTTCTTTTTTCCCAAGCAGCCAACACTGGGATTGTCAATCACACCCATTCCCGGATGGGATCCATCATGAGCACAGGGATTGTCCAAGGTAAACCTGCCCTTGGGCTTTTTTGGAACTGAGGGGAAAGTGGCCCTGTGTGCTCTCTTCTCCTCTGTAGGATTTTGAACACTTTGGCTGAGAAAAGCAGCAGGCAGCATGTTGGGTTGAGAAGGGGCAAATACTTTTACAGTACATTTTGAAACTGACATTATCCCTGAAATTGAAACTAAGCTAGATGAAATTCTAATGGAATAAATTCTACTAGCTCATTTTGGCATCAGTCCAGTTTGTATCAAGGCAGGTTTTGGGGCACTGTGACTATTGACTGGTTTATTCTGGTTTGAGTTTTCAGGGGCAAGAGCCTTTATCTTTGGTGCGTAATGTGGACTAGAACTGAGTTGAACCCATTGGCATCTTGTCAGTCCATGTAAAAGAGGTAGCAAGCTCTTCCTTATAGATGAAGCTCTAAGACAGCATATTCCCTCTTTTCTATTACCCCCATCCTCCCATGCCATTAAAACTACATTTTGCTGTTATATTACAAAGTGAGGTTTTGATTTTAAATTGAAATTTGTTAGATCAGGAATGGATCTGGACCCATTCTTTAAAAACAGATGGCTAGTTGTGCTTAGACATTTTTGCTGAAAACTAGAATTCCTTCTGCTATATCCAGCTGAATGTTTTTCTCTCCTGCTACAGGCTCATCTAGTGGCCAAAGTGGAGGAACTTCAACTGCTCATTACCCAGTCAACAGTCAATTTACTATGGGGGGACCAGCCATTTCTATGGCGTCCCCCATGTCTATCACCACCAACACAATGCATTATGGGAGCTAAGAAACCCTCATCCCTGAACTGACAGCATCAGGAAACCAAATGAAGAAAAAGTTCCACCTCCCCACTGTATCTCATCAGTTGGCAGTCAATTCTTTGGATCTCTTCTGCCCTCCAATAGGTTACCCAGAGATGGTCCAATCCTTGTACAATAGAAGACAAAAACCCACTGGCTTAATGGCGGATTTGTACACATTTTTCATGAAATGTTGGAAATTTCAACTTGCTCAACCACGACTGAGTTCCTGTGCTTACTGAGTTTTACAACCTATCATGTCAGTAATAGTATCATTCTTCAATCTGCCATGACTGATTTGCATTAGGCACAGGCTGTAGATCTGAACTGCCATAGGGCCTCTAACATGCTCTAGGCAGTCCACCAACAGAAACTTGATCATTTATTGCTACACTCCCAGTATTTTAAATGAAGGGGCTGCAGCTGGCTGTAGAATGGGCACAGGTAAGAATCCAGCAGCATATCCATGTCGATTTCCTAGGCATCCCAGGCTCTGGGCTAGTGTTTGTAGCATTATTAAGACTTAGGAGGAATATCTCCTGGGAAAGACAAAGACTTATCAACTTCCTGGCTTTCAGAAAAGCTCCAGCATCTTACTGTTGTAAGTCTTGGGCCATGTGAAAAATATCCAAGATGAAAGAAGACTGTTTTATATGCCACAAGCATCTTATCAGCAGGTCTGATGATTGCCTGTCTCTTGGGAATATTGATGTAGCATCAAAGGGTTAAAAAATTTAAAACACAAATGTACCAAAAAATACTGTTGCTGGCTGAAAATGGTTTGTGTATCAATTTCCTGTTGCTCATTTTAAACCCAATCCTATTTTCTGGTCTATTCTTAAGGTGTGACAGCAGCTATGATTAGTTCCTCCCTTCTGGGCAGAAGTGGATGCCAAATGGTTTAGTATGTAGACTTGTCTGCTTCCCACAGTAACCACCAGGGGACTCTAAATAGATTGGCAGCTATTATGGGGTCCCTTTGTGTAATCCCTTTTATGTGTAATTTGTAACTCTTTCTTTTTTCCTTCCAAAGAGCCTCAAGCCAATATTTCTTAAAGGACTTGACAAGCAACTGTTTTATGGAGGAGAAAAGTGGTTTACTTAAGGCAATGTTCTTTGGGTCCCAATAGTGGCTGAATTGGGGGAAGGGGTGGGACCATTCTGGAGAACCTTCATAGTGGCTGGATTGTGGGTCTATAAAGCCAATTGTTGGTTCTGGCTGATCAACGATTTTGTGACTATTGAATAAAACTGGGAGGGTTTTGAAGATGTTTGTAATGGCTGGTTTCCCAATCTCAGGTTTAGATGAAACAGCTTAAAATTTTATTTGTATTCACATATCCACTGGACAATCCTGTTTTGAAGTGCAGTTGAGAGAAGTGCCTTCCCAGCAGAAATGTACCTCAAATGATTTGACTTCCCTTACATTGCTAAAGAGCTGCCTGTTTCTTTCTTCTAGTCATAGTTAAGAAAGTTTAGGAAATTAACTTGTTTCCTGTTAGGCTTCTTGTGGCTACCTTTGATGTGATCACAAGTCACACTCAGACAAGTCCTGAGTACTCAGACAAGCAGAAGTACTGGCTTTTTACCAGACATCCCTGCAAAGATCTGCTCTATATTAATATAGGAAGTTAAGAAAAAGCTTTCCAGAGATGATAGTTTAATTCAAATTAGCCTTGCATGCCAAAGAAATTAAATGGCTACATTAATTTTAAGTGATCTTTTGGCTTATATGAGAATTTTACTTGTATAGTAATTATTTGCTAAACCCACAGGAATGCACCTATTTAATTAAATTTTCCTGTCTTTTTCTCTGTTGCAAGTGACTAGGATTTAGCTGAAATAGATGTAAGGGATTCATGCAGCCCATCTCTTCTGTCCTATTGCAACAGACACACACACTGCTACAGCAGAGCAAATGGCAGCTGCATCAACCAAAGCAGCTCTGAATATTTAGAATTGTCAGGCCTCACAAGTGGCTTCTAGTGTAAGCTGCTTCCTAAATCAGGTTAACTGCTGGTGTGCTCTGCCTGACAGCAGCAAAACAGTGAATTTTGAAATGGTAATATATGACTTTGCTTGGCCCACTAGCAGGATCTTCTTCCTGGTCAGGGTTTTTATGTCTCTTGAGTAGGGTGTCTTGAGTGGTCTATTCTTTCTTCCCTGATACTGGATATTCAAGATTGATGTCTGTAAAAGAAGCAATTCAATAGAACAAATATTGGGGAGAGATCCAAAGGTCAAACCTTTCCAAAAATAGTGTGATTCTGCATTTCCATTAATATGGATGAGTAAGGGGATAGTAATATTTGAATTAAAATACCTGCATATTTTTCAAAGTCTAGCGCAGGGTGTTATCAGATTCCTTTTCCCTCTGCTGCAGTAGATGAGGGTGTATGCTTCTGCTGTTGAGTTGCTGTTGTATAAGCAATAGGAATAGAAGATGTGATCCTTGGTTTCTGAAAAAAATAGAGCTTCAAAAAGACAAGATTAAATTGGTTGAAGCAGGAATCAAATAGGATTCTCCACCTCGCCCCCACCACCAATAACCTGGATTTCATCATAATGACAGTCATTGCCCAATTTCTTAAAATGTTCAAAGGAGCAAAGAGCAGCTTTTTTATTTCAACCCCTGGCTTCACAGATACTACTCATTCTTCTTTCTCTCACCCTACCCCTCCCAACCCTAACCCTTACTCTTCATGATAGTCTGATGAGTAACACAGTGTTCAAAGATGTGCAGTGTTCTAAAATCTTACACTTTGCAATTTGCAACTACACACACGCCTATAACTACACACTTTGAAAGCATTTAACCTTTATTTTCGGCTTAGAGACATGCATTACAGATACTGCATTTGGCCCTATTAAAAAGACTGAATCCTAACATGGTCAACAGAAAAAGGATGATTATACAGGAAAAAAATTATATACTCTTAACTGAAACACAAGTCAAACTCTTTCATAAAATATACTCATCTTTTGCTCAACAAAAACCTAATGATGCTTATTGTCCAATTGTCTGTTTCTCTCAGCAACTGAAATACACTAGTACAGAACAGAAGATACAAACCTTGCATCCAATAGCTAGAAGGATATGAAGAGAAACAATAATGGCCATTATAACACAAGCAGCTGGCTTGCTATCTGAACGGATAACTGGCCAGAAGGTAAGGACCAGAACTGAGCCTGACAACCCTATTGCAACTATGATCAGGAGCCACTGCAGCCATGGGATAGGGATTAGCCACAGAATCTATGGAGGAAGATAACAGTGAATCAATGTCAAAATTTTCAAGGTCACATTGAAGAATTCATCTTTCCCAAAAAGTGGCAATTCTTTCCAAGAATATATTCTACAGAAAATGAATGATAAATCTGCCAAATGCCTGACAACTTACCGCAGTAGGAATGTACACAAAGAGTGAGTAGCCATAAATGCACACCATTTCCAGAAAAGAATACACATCAGTGGTGACATGGGCTCCCTTTCGCCAATGTAGATAGCCCCACAGACCTAAGGGTACCAGCCAGGCATAGCAATAGATAACTATGCCTGCAATAGTCACTGTGCAAGAAGAAAAAACTTATTAAATGCACCATTCCCTAGCAAGAACTAACATTGAAACATGTCATAGACTTCTATCATATCTAAAAAGAGAAGGGAATGGGAATTCATAGAATAAACTATGTTTTATAATAGTCTGTAAAGCACTCCTTTATTATAATTTTGATTTTTTTTCCTCCACCTTTATATAAAATTCAAGATGGCAAAAGTGCCTAATATTCCTGCCTCCTATTTTTCCTGCACACCCCTGTGAGGTGGGCTGGGCTGAGAGATAATGACTGCCCAAAGTCACTAGATAGTTTTCATGCCTAAGGCAAGCTCAATTTTTTTTGGTGTCTGGGCAAACTGTTTCTCAGTACTGATAAATAAACAATATATCAGTTCGTTCCAATTCTAAGGGGATTAAATAAAGATTGGGAGGCAGGATTTATATGTTTTAAATTATGCTCTTTATTTGCACATTTTAAATACAAGACAAGGAGATAGTTCTTTACTTCTCATAGCCAAAAAAGATATTCATCAGTATGCATGAATCAGGAGCCATGGTGGCGCAGTGGTTAAAATGCAGTATTGTAGGCTAACTCTGCCCACTGCCCAGGAGTTTGATCCTGACCAGCTCAAGGTTGACTCAGCCTTCCAAGTAGGTAAAATGAGGATGCAGATTGTTGAGGGCAATATTGTAAACCACTCAGTGTGTCTTGTAAAGCACTATGGAGTGGTATATAAGTCTTAAGTGCTATTTCTGTGTATCAAAATACTCAGCAGGCAACAAAAATATTTTCCCACTTATTTATCTTGCCTATTCTTGATATAGCTACACTTCTACCAACTAGAGTCACTCCACAGTACGATGGGTGGCATATAAATTTATGTGTTTTTGTATATCAATTATACACAGAAAAACAATCAGCAGTATAATTCAACCAGTAATATACTAGCCTCAGAAGTTCCTGGAAGTACTTCCATATCGAAATCTCACCTTTGTGGAATTGAGGGCTGTAGTGGAAGGAGGAGCTCCCTCTTTTTTCCAGGAAGTAAGATAAGTTACCGCTGATGGCTAATGTGAATACCAATGTGGCACAGATCCAGAAAGGTCCTGTGAGGAGCAAAAGAGCCAACACCAAAGAAAACAAAAGTATAAGGAGTCTTGAAAGGAATAGGCATCTTAGCAGAGAATGCAATGGAAACAAGAAAGCCATTTTTATAATAGAACAAAGCAGAATTGGGTATCAGTAGATTTTGCCACCTTCCTTAATTTTATGGAAAATAGGGTTTGAGGACAGATAGGATCAACAGCACTAAAGCTACATTTCCATTATCCGGGATAAGGAAAAGGAGAAATGACACCATTCAACTGAAATGTTATAGGGTTTCCTGTTTGAGCAGTGAGTTGGACTAGAAGACCTCCAAGGTACCTTCCAACTCTTCTGTGGCCAAATAAAGAAGAATATATTATTGGAGTAGGAACTTCTCTGGACTCACCATAGAGGTCAGGATTGTTCTGCAAGTGATGCCATGCGAAGTTTTTCCCTGGTAGCGGAAATAGGGAGCCTTTTATTCTGTCCAGCACCTGATAAATAGGAAAAGACCATGCTTCAGCAATTTAACTCCCAAATTCTCTATAAATGTGGGGATGCCCAACTTGTTGGTGCCAGGATGCTTACAAAAACTTCCCTTAGCAACCCACTTCCTATCTTAATATTCTTGTATTAAAAATGGCATGGTTGAAAGCCAAGGGCCAGTTTTCAGCAGAATATTTATTTCATCAAATGGACCCCATAATGCTTGCTTAGGAAACTTTTTAAAATATGCCCATCCATAGCTCAAATAGCAAAGGTAAGCAGGGACAGTAAAGAGGTTTCTCTATGGAGGCAGAGCAGTGGAATACAAAGAGCAGCTCTTTGTATTCCAGTAAACTGGGATGTGTTTAGCAGATGTGTTCCTTATAAAGCTGAGTTGTGCATGAGCATGCTCAGCAGCAATTTTCAAGAGCACTTTCAACTGTTTTTATAACTGACCCCCCCCCCCCAAGGATTCCCTGCTAAATTTAATAGGTATCCAAACGCATCCAGATCTATCAGACCGCAAAAGACTACTGGAGGCCTTGAACAAACCCTCACACTTGGACACCGTTGTTCCTATTGATGCTATAATTGCAGAGGAAATCCATGTATATTCATTTTAAAATTATTTTTATAACCAACAGAGTACCTCAAGTGAATTTCAGCTATTGAAAATATATCTTAAAAGGAAAATTCCTATGCTGAATTAATAAGAGTGCAATGACAATTCTGTTTTCACAAACTGATCTTGAAACCAGATTCACAGCACAACACAAACAGTTGAATTGCAGGGCTCTGCTTCTGACCAGGAAATTAAATAAGCAGAACAAAAAAATATATTTGATTACCCAGACCTTATTTTTTTACTTTAAGAAACCATATATATGCATGTATGTGTGCGTGTGTGCATATAACTCAAGGCAGCAAACATATCCAACAACTTTTTCTTCCTATTTGCTCCACAACAACCCTGTGAGGTGAATTGGACTCAAAAAGATTGACCCAAAGTCACCCAGCTGACTTTTATGGCTAAGGTAGGACTAGAATTCAGTCTCCCAGTTTCTAGCCTGGTGCTTTAATCACTAGACCAATACATGTTTCATTGCAGCTGTAATTCCACTATCCACTATAAGTTCCCTATCAATGACCTCAATGATTACAGACCAGTGGCACTCACTCCTATCATCATGAAGTGCTTTGAGAAATTGGTCTGCCAGCACATCATTTCTGGTCTTCCGCGTACATTTGATAAACATCAGTTTGCATACAGAAAAAATAGATCTACAGAGGACGCTATAGCCATCACTCTTCACACTGCTCTGACTCATCTAGAACAGCAGGGGGGGGCGCTATGTGAGGATGCTTTTTGTGGATTTTAGTTCTGCATTTAACACAATTCTTCCATATAGTGTCTAAACTTCTGGACCTTGGGCTTTCTAATTCAATCTGCCTTTGGATTATGGATTTCCTGTCCGGCTGCTCACAGAGGGTCAGATTAGGTAATCATACCTCTTCAGCCCTTATTCTTAACACTGGTACACCACAGGGTTGCGTGTAGAGTCCCTTACTCTTTATGTGCATGACTGCATTCCCATTCACGCTAGTAATACTATTGCTAAATTTGCAGATGATACAACAGTGGTGGAACTTATCTCCAGGGGGGATGTGTCTTGCCTACCGAGATGAGGTGGACCGGTTGCTTTCGTGGTGTGGAGACAATAACTTGGTCCTCAACACCAATAAGACCAAGGAGCTTATAGTGGATTATAGAAGGAACAGATCAGACATCCAGCCCTTGCTCATCAATGGAGACCGAGTGGAGCAAGTGGCCAGTTTTAAGTTTCTGGGTGTTACCCTAAAAGAGGACCTGACCTGGGGTGCTCACATTGCAGCACTGGTCAAAAGGGCTCAGCAGAGATTATATTACCTGAGGCTTCTCAGAAAACAACAACTGAATGAAAAACTGATGGTGACCTACCACTGCACCATAGAGAGTATCTTAACTTGCTGCACCTCTGTGTGGTTTGCCAATTGCACAGTGGCGGATAGGAAAGCACTCCAGAGGGTTAACGTCATTGCCCAGAAGATCATTGGTTGCCCTCTCCCCTCTTTGGAAGAGGTTTATAGCTCTCGTTGCCTTAAGGAAGTTCAAAACATTCTAAAAGATCCATCTCATCCTGGGAACCCTTTTTTTTTTAACTATTACCATCTGGCAGACTAATAAAAACAAGGACAAATAGGCTGAAAAACAGCTTCTATCCCAGGGCAGTAGCTCTTTTGAATTCTGCTGTATAGTGCAGTGTTGGTGTGGTGTCGGGTGTTTCCGGTTCAATGTGTGAAGGGTGAAGGATGTGTGTTTGTGTTTATTTTCATAGTCATGGTCATGATGTGCACTGAAGATGGTGTTCGATTTCGTTGTATGAGGTTCAATGACAATAAAGTAAACTAAACTAAACTAAACAAGGATTGAGCCATGAAGAATTAATCATGAATAAATGAAAGCATTACTTTCTTTGTAATGGTACTTTCCAATATACTATAATACCTTAGATTCAAAACAGATGTTAACCAGATCCTTTTAATTCAGTTTGATTTAGTAATGAGAGTCAATGAGTTCATTCTTGTAGACTGCAGGTAATAGGAATTGGAAAGTAATGGCCTTCTCCTATTTTGCAGAAATTAATTTCTAATTAAACTATCAGAACTATTTCTAATAATATGGATTTCTATGAGAGTTCAGATCTCATGCAAAAAAATCTGTTTATAACAAAGTATTTTCCTTCCAATTAAAAACCAATTTTGTGCATAGAACAATATTTTCCTCATAAACAGCTTTAATTGATGGAACTTGTCCCTTGGAGTTTGCAAATGAACCATCTGAAATAAATTGGAGGGGAGCATAGTAGAAGCAAGTCCTGTCACATACACAGGTTTCAGAAGCATAGGCCTAATAATCATCCTCTTCCCACCTTCAATACTAAGAAGAGGACAAAAATCTTGTTAATGTTTATTCAGTGTTTTACTTTTTTAGTGTCAACCAATAAAAACTTCGTACCAGTATAACACTGGATTCTGCTCAAAAATCATGAGGTTAAGGAATTATTTAATTAAAAGAATATTTAAATGATTGCTATGTTTAAATTCTATTTCCTGAATTTTGGAGTTTAGGCTTCTCTAAACAAAAATTGTTCAGGAGAGTTGAAGTAATTTTGGCACATATTAGAACCGCTTTCAGAATTTGGTTTTTGTGTTTGCCTTCAAAATATGGCCCCATGGATTCTAGTACCTGATACGTGTCAACATTGAAGAAGGCCTGGTAATATTCAAATGTCCAGAAACTGGATTGCTTCTTCTGGAAGCTCAAGAGCTGCAAGAATGAAAATGGAAATTACTGCTTTCTTCATGTCTGGGAGAGAAAAGGAATATACAAGTAGTCATCGAGTTATGAATGTAATGGAACCTGCCCATTCCATTCATAACCCAAGGATTCGTAGGAGTGAATTGGGTAACTTGAACATGTTCACTTCCTCCTTTCACCCATGCATTTGCTAATTGAATGTGTGGCTCATTAAGTGCACATAAGGTCTCTCAGGGTGGGGAAGGCCATGGGGGGACCTAGGGATGGAACAGGCCACCTGCTTCAGAACCCCCAAGACCTCCCCTAACTCACTGAGATACCTCATTCTCTCCTGGGGTCCCCACAATCGGTCCCTCCCCATCCTGCTGCACCGGATCACCTACCTTGTGAAGTTCTGTCTCCTCTCCAGCCTGTTTCTTTGCCTACTGGTAAGCGGCAAGAGCACAGGGAGAGCAGGACACGCATGCCCTGCTCAGCTTCTCTGACTCACCGAGGCTGCCTACCATTTCTAGAGCAGCGGGCAATCTCGGTTGACTTTCCTCCAAAGACTTCAAGCCTCCTATTGGCATGCAAAAACTTTTTGTGCACAGACTGGAATCTTCTGGATGCCCTAATCTCACAAGACCTTCAGACACCCATTCACTGCAAAAATGGATGATGCCTGAAGTCACAAGAGATCATGGCACCCAGAAGCTTTCAACCTCTGGCCGAAAAGTGTTTATGCACCTATGGAGAACCAGCTCATATGGTTTGAAGAGGCCTTTGCCAGAAAGAATGGAGCCCCCTGAGGGAGTGCACGTCGCTGTTTTCACCAGGAAAGGCCTCTGCTGAAGCAAACAGAGCCCCCAGAGGGAGCATGCTTGTGTCACTACGGAGCTGTTTTTGCCAGGAAAGACCTTTCCTCAAGGCTTCTGCCAAAGAGAACAGAGCCACCGGAGGGAGCGTGCTTCACTCCAGAGCTGTTTTATGGAGGGAAAGCTTCAATGTTTCAGACCTTCTCTCCATTTGCAAAGCCTTTTACTGCAGATCTTGCCTTCATTTGCAAAGAACACAGGTACCAAGAGATCATGAGAGATCAGTAGCATGAGATCTTGTCCTACTGATCTCATGTGATCTTGTGGTACTTTAGGCTTCTATTCTCTGTGAACTCACCAAAGGGCTGAATTGCCGAAACAGGCCAAGAAAGCAAAAACTCTCTAGATCTTCACAAGGTGAATATCCACAGGCCTAGTGCCTATGAAGACCCGGGGATGGGGGGGAGATTGGCAGGGCAAATGTTGCAGACCCCCTGCAGTCATTCGTAAGGGCGAAAAATGGCCGTAGTGCTGCAACATTTGTAGTTTCGGGACATGTTTGTAAACCCTAGGGGTGCTTATTGTGTAACTTTGAACATTCGCTAACGTTCAGAACTTGGGGATTATTGGCATTAAAAATTATAAAGGTAAAGTACAATGCATACAATACATACAAGGTACATACAATGCATACAAGGTAAAGTACAATGCATACAATATCTGCAACATCAAATAGTTACAACATAAAAAGCAGTTAGTTCAAGATGGAAAGGATAGGGTCAGGAAGCAGGTCAGCACCTACAGAAGTTTCCCAATGCTTTTCAAATACAGTTGCACTGCAGAGCTCAAGGTGTGATTTAATAAGCATTGAGATAACTAACCCGGAACCAGCAGTGCACTGTAATTGGCAAGTATTCTACTACCTACTAGTCTGGGCCAGTAACTGACAGTGCAGTATCCAAGTATCAGTCCCAGGCTGTGAAACCCAATTCTGTCAAGTGGCTCTTTATTAGATTGGAGCAGCATTAAGTGGGGTATTGCACAAATCAGTCCTAGTCCTCTATTCTTCAATACTTTTATTTACAATTTGGATGAAGAGAATATTTGTTAAAATTACAGATATCTTTAAAATATTAGATGAGCTGGTTCTAATACATGGGTCTATTCCCTCTCAGTTTTTTCACCTTAATTACGTTTACATATTTGTCTCTGATTAAACTATCACTTGTATTTTTCCCTGTTTATTCTACTTCATTATATTTCACAAAATATGTCCATAAACAAAAATAATCCATTGCTCTAATGAACATTAATGTTGATATCACATTGTTAATACTTTTATTTACATACTTTTTCATTATTAGTCTGAAATTCTGATAGCAAGAAAGAATAAAAATGATCGGGGATGGGAAATGAAGTATGGTAAGAAAAGAATGAGGGGAAAAAAGAATCCATTTGGGGAAATGGGGAATCCATTGTTACCCCAATCCTTTGGAACAGCCTCCCCACGAGCTTTAGAAAGTCCCACCCGATTCACAGGCTGTGAAGAACTCCCTTTTATTCAGGCATTTTGCTACCCAGGAAGTGAGCCCAACAAATGTAAATAGAAGTTAGAATAGTAGTTCTACCTGCAGGGTGTGTAAAACAGCACCCTCTTCAAAAAAGCACCCTCTGCTGCTAAAATTCAGCAGCCAAAAATCTGCATTTTGTGAATTTTCTTAATCCCTGCCCTTAAACACCTTAACTGCTCCCCAAACAGCCAAAAATTGGGCTTGCCTCTGTTCTCCAATTTAAAATCCTTTCAACTTATTTGGTAATCATAAGCATCTTTAGGGGATTAAAGGTTAGATGACCTCCTAAAGCCTAGTCCCTCAAACATTGCCCATCCTGGCTGGTTTCAGAAGGTATCAGATAGGAACAATGAGCCCACCATCGTTACATTGATCTCTGTATTGTGGCCGAGTTTGCTAATTTCTCTATTTGTATATTAAATGATTATTTCTGCCCAGTTCATGTTAGCATGCTTACAGAGCTAATTTTACTCCTAATTTGCTGCATGGATTCCAAATTAATCAATTCCTTTTTGGAGCTTGTGAATTTGTCAAGAAATACTTATAACCAAAGTAGAAAAGTTCCCTTGCATTTTTGTCTTAGAATGTTGATTTATGCTTAAAACACACTTTGCAAGATCACATTTTTCAAAAACATTGTATTTTTGCACCTATTGTTCATAGTTTGATGCTCCACTAAACTGGTAAGCAACATGTAGTCTTCTCACCAGTTTCCGAAGACCCATGAGTTAAGTTCCTTCCTTCTTCCTTCTTCCCAAGATATTATTTGGAGTAATTTGAGTACACTTATAAATCTTAAATAATTTCAAATGCTGGATGTATTCTTTATCAAAAAAAAATTCTTTAGCTAAAGAGATCTGCTTGCTGGCAGGGTAACTAGTCCTATTCACTAGACAGTCTGATCCAAAAGACTAAATGCCTCCGGTGGTATCAAGGGTGATGTGAGAAGGTAGCATGAAAATCTCAAAGGACCCACAAACTGTACACACTTACTGTAAGGGAAGAGACATCCCAAAGAATTAGGAGTGGAGTTATGGGCATAATTAATTATTATAAACAGCTGGATAAAAATCATCAGTTACAGTGAAAAAGTAGGGAGGTGCCAGAAATTAAGATGCAAATTTTCCTACTTTTCCACACTGGGGTAAAATCAGAGGTTCTGACCAGTTCTGGAGAACCGGTAGCAGAAATTTTGCGTAGTGTGGAGAACTGGCAAATACCACCTCTGACTGGCCCCACCCCCATCTATTCTCTGCCTCCAGAGTACCAGATGATCGGCTGGGTCTTCTTTTGTTGCCCTGCACAGGAGAATGGAGCTGGAAAGCAGGTTAGTGGGGTGGGGAGGCAATGGGATTTTGCACCAACCTTCTCCCAGGAGTGGGGAGGGAATGGAGATTTTACAGTATCCTTCTCCTGCCACGCCCACCAAGCCACACCATGCCCACCAAGCTACACTCACAGAACCAGTAGTAAAAAAAATTGAATCCCACCATTAAAATGGGTATCATATTGTGTATCAAATATTGAGGTCAAATGTCATGGTGGCCAGGGCAGCCAATGGTTAAAGTGTTGGGCTAGGTCTGGGTATCTCAGTTCCAGTCCATCACTTATGGAAGCAAAACAAATAACTCTGGACTAATCATCCTTCAACCCAACTTTACATATTGTGCAGGAATGTTACTGCACAGAAAATTAAATTCTGCATATATCACCTTAAACTTTTGGAAAAACATAAATTTAACAAATATATAAAACAAATACATTTCTATGTTCCTCTCACAGAAGTTGGGAAAAATATTTTCTGCAATCAGTAAGTATGACTACCACTCTCTGCTAATCAAACTTTTATTTGATATCCTATTATTTAAGTCTTTCGTGTGTACACTGTCTCCCAATTCATGTCAAAATGTCCCTAACTAAGTTCATGCAGCTTCCTCCATCCAAAACTCACCTCAGTTTTGTCATCCTCTTCATCTGGCTCATATTCCTCATTACAGCTGGAAGACATGTTGAGAGTTATGTGGCTTTGGCTCTCATTAATGCTAGGAGTAGTAGCATCAGCATTTCCAGCCAGCAAATCCATGGCTTCATTAAATTCTGCAGAGAAAATATCAATGTCATCCAATTGACTGTAATCAAACTTCAGTCTGGTGTTCAAGGGCCACTTGCAACAGCACTTTCTAAACTTTTTAGGAAACTTTGCTAGTGTGTACTAGATTAAAAATAATTTTAAGTATTTAAGAAGCATGTGACCAAAGGCAGAAAAAGAATCTGAGCTTTTGCAGACAACTTGGATTTTTAGGGCGGGAACAGTAGGAAATTAGAAGATATTTCTTCAGTGATAGTTGGAGAAATCTCAGAAAGATTAATGATGTCCAAAGGAGAAAAAACTATCCACAAAGTTTGAGTTGTCTTTCTTTTGTCTAAATGTAAGACTTTGAAATAAAAATCCTCCCCAAATACGCACACACATAAATATGTCACTCAATATTTGTCCAACCTAGTGGGGGAAAGGAGCTACATTTATATTTACAGTAACAGAATCATTTTATCCATGCATACTATCCATAAGAGTTATATTTCCCTTTCAATTCTACTAAAATCATTATCTTATGCATTCAGAAAAATCAGAATATATTGCAGCTGAAAGAGTATGATATGGAAAATACAGAAACATAATAAGAGTTGTTTACTAAAGTACTGTATTTCATATTCAGAGAACATTCTTCTATAGGTTTAAGACTGCAGCTTTCTCTGTACTTAGTCTAGTAATCTAGTATAATCTAGTAACTTAAGTCTAGTAATCTAGTATATATTTTTAATCCCACTAAATTCCATAGTTATACAGCTCTTTTTATAGAGCTCTGGTGGTGCAGTGGTTATTGCAGGCTAACTCTGCCCACAGCCTGGAGTTTGATCCTAAAGGATTCAAGGCATTCCATCTTCCCCAGTAAAATGAGGAGCCAAGTTGTTGGGGGGTAATATGTTGATATTGTAAACTGCTCAGAGTGTTATAAAGCAGGGGTCCCCAACCACCGGGCCACGGACCAGTACCGGGCCGTGGAACATTTCCTACCGGGCCGCCGGTTTGCTGGGCGCCGCCATCTTGTTTGACGAGAAAGTGCTTCCGGGTGAGCTTTTCTGGTTGGAAAGCGGCGTTTGGGTGCTGAAAGAATCCTCGCGCCTTAGTTTCATCGAAGGGGGGGGGGCTTCGAACAAAACTAAGGCACGAGGATTCTTTCAGCACCCAAGGCAAGGCGAGCCGAGCAACCGTCCCGAAGCCGTCCTGAAGCGAAGCCCATCGACAAAGGTACAAAGGAGGAGTTGAAGGTGGCGGGGAGAAGCGGGGGACGGCTGGCTGGCCGGTTGCTCAGCTAGCCTTGCCTTGCCATGCATGCTGATGCTGGCACCGGGCCGCGGATCATTTTGTGATGCCGGTACCGGGCCGTGGCACAAAAAAGGTTGGGGGCCACTGTTATAAAGCACTATGAAGCAGTACACAAGTCTAAGTGCTATGGCCATTGCTATTGCTTCAGTCCTTAACCGCAGACAGGTCCTCAGAAGGTATGCTAAAACATTCATTTTGTGACTGAAGTTACAACAGCACTGAAAAAAAGTGATGCCTAGTTTTCACACTTACAACCATTGCAGCATCCCCAAAGTCACATGATCAAAATTTAGACACTTGGCATGTGGCAGGTATTTATGACAGCTGCACTATCCTAGGGTCATGTGATCATCATTTGTAACCTTCCCAACTGGCTTCCAACAAGCAGTATCAATGGGGAAAGCCAGATTTGCTTAACCACGATTCACTTTACAACTGCAGTGATTGGTTTAACAATTGTGACAAAAAGGTGGCGAAATGGGGCAAAACTCAACAGCTGTCTTGCTTTGCAATGGAAATGTTCGGCTCAATTGTGATTGTAAATTAAAGACTATACTAACTGGATGCTTTGGAATGACAAGAGTGCTTCTAGTGCAGACACAGTAAACTACATGGCATAATCGAGGCATCTCATAAACAACAAAACCTAACAAAAGGGAAAACATTGCTTGACTAGGTGTCCATATCTGCTTCAATGGTGAGAAAATACTCACCACGAAACTTGAGTTCATCTGAAGCAGCCATTATAAGGCCAGAGTACCTACAAAGGGAAAGAGACAGCTTTTCAGAGAAGACATGACTACGAAAGGCAGCTCGGTGTATGGGGCAGAAGACACCCTTCAGCCGTCGGTTCCTTCATCCACAGAAATGTCGAGCGTCTCTCTCAAGGGCTACGTTCCCGTGACAAACCAGGCTTGTCCTACTACCCTGCTCTCCCGCACTGATCACCTGGGAGAGGTGGAAGGATGAGAGGAGGATGTCAGCCACTGCTTACCGACTGTCGAAAGGCACTCTGCAGATGCTCAGAGACGCCGAGGGCCACACTCTAACCACCTGTCACCACTTGCTTGTGAAACCGTCTCGTTTATTCCACGGCTCCACGCCTCAATCTCCCTACGTGGAGCGGGACGGGAAGGAGAGGAAGGCCCAGGACACCGCCAAGCCACGGAAAGCCTATCGATGAAGAGAAAGATCCGGCGCTGCATTCGAGTATTATCCGAGACTCCTCCTCTACCGGCTGCGCTAGGAGGCCCTCCCCGGTTTCGTCACGGAGCAGCTACATTATCCTTCCCCTATCCCAGTTGTGGCCATTGGAAGCGGGGAAAGGCGGGGTTTCTTGAAGACGCCAAAGCCTTGCATTCCGCGCCTGGTTGTTTGGTGGCAGAGTATCTTTCTGTTTATGAACATTTATAAACAGCTGCGAATGTAAAACTGTCGAAGGTTGTCCCTCGTCCCTTTCCGATAACCACCAGACCGGCAGCAAAACCACGTAACACGCTGCCCTTTGACTCCCAGCCTTGACTTCCTCTTGGTTACCTACCGTTTTGACGGTCCGTTCGTGTTTGGCGTCCGGTCACATCTCAAGACGAGCGGACATGATGGGCCCTCCGAATCCCGAAAAGACGAGTTTTGGGGGCCGTCTCCGCGCCAGCCGCCTAGGTAGCCGAGGCCGCTCTGCTCCTGACAGGCCGGAGAGGGAGGCTGTTTGAGGCACGCCTGCCCCTTCTCCCTCCACCCCAACTTTCTTTCCCGCTCCTCTTAACGCGATCTTTTCTCCCTCCTCAGCCTTGTGGTGGAAGAGTCTCCTGCACGACTATGCTGAAGCCTGCCGAGAAGTCGCCCAAGGCATCCGGCAGCGGCCGGTGAAAGCAGGGCTTTACCTGTCGCTGTTGGCTGGAGCGGTGAGCTGCAGCCTCCGCAACCCCAGTGAAGCCTCATTCGACTCCAGCCTCCTGGAAGCCTCGGGGACTCTGCTACTCCTCTCGCCCTGGACGCGCAGCAGCAGCTCGGAAAAGCATACCCAGCGGCTGATGGTGCTCCGAAACCGAGGCCAGCTGCGGGTCCAGAACCTCGCGTTTTTCTCCCTCCTCTACGAGGCGCCTTACGACGCCGGAGCAGATCTCTATCAAGCGCACTGCAAGTATCTAAAGCCACGGTGGACTGATTTTCCCAGCCTGGTCCTTGATGTAGGCTTCTGGGGGCGCTGGTGGGTATTGCACTCTAGAATGCAGAATTCAGACATTAACAATGAAGAGTTTCAGTACCTGCCAGGGCATCTCAAGACCATTTCTTTTAATGACTTGCACTCGGAAACCAACGAGAAACTTTTTGATGAGAAGTACAAAGCTGTGATTCTGACAGAAGAGCAAATCCAAGAAGCTGACGGGGAGAATCAAGGGCAACTACACTCTTAATTAAAGCAGTTGGTTGACTGTAATATAGTAATAGAAAAAAACCAAGATACTTCATTTATTCATCTTTCTATTTTCTTCTAGGGCTCATATTCATTGCTGTATTCTTGGGAGGCATAAGATTTGAGAATAAATGCTGTCTAAATCTGAGGAGATGCTTGACGAGTAATTCTTAGTGCCGCCTAGTGATTGAGAAATTGATAATAGTTATCTCTTGGTAGTCATTTTTTCTCTAAATGTGATGTAAAACTTTATGCAAATTGGAGCACAAATAGATCAGTCCATCACCTTTCCTCAGATCTCATACAGTGTTTCCTGCCCATCTCATAATCTTCCCATATCATTAAAGGTAATAAGGAAAGTTCCATGCTATTTGTTCCCTATCAGAAACGATCAGTTTCACTTCAGTTTCTGTTTGGATTCTGCTAAAAGGCAAGGCAATATGGCTTCCAAGCCCCCCTTTTTTTTCTTTAGAAACCAGCAAAACATTAGCTTCAAAAAATATTGTAATTTCATTTTGTTACATTTCAGTTACATTTACTGTAAAATTAAAGCTTAATCAGTCTGCTTCATTTTCAAAAGATAAATTTCTATAAATCTATTCCAGGTCTTTTCCTTTCTACACATTTTTCCAAGATGTAAGTAACAGATTATCAAAATTCTGCAAATCCTTGGTAAATTTTCTATACATCACTGAATAATGTAAATATTGATGATTTCTAAAACCCTGTTGGTCAGCAATCTGACAATTCTAATGACTGTCTGAAAGGAACGTATGTTGAGATGGCAAAACTCAGCAGGCCTTGGAGGCCATGGAAGTTACACAGGAAACCCCTAGCCTGTGGGTTAAGTATGTGACCCAAACCATAGAAGGTGTGCGTGACTTTTTATAATTTCTGTATTTCTATACCTTATCTGTCATATGCCAGCTTCCTCTTATGCAATCGAGTGAAAGCAATGTATAATTATCTGCCTCATGCTGTGTTCAGGTTTCCTCCACTTTTAGGGGGATCCATCTTTATTCAGCTGAATATATGTGTTGGCTTATCAAGACAAACCTGGACACAGTTTATTTTTTCACTGAGTCACACCTGGGAACTTACCTAACCCCAGAGGGATTTCCAGAAGGCAAAGGCATTAGCAACTATTTTCTTTCCTAATTTGAGTGTACAACCTTGGATATTGGGGACTGCATCTCTTAGGACAACAGATGGATCTGTTTAAAAATATGTTTTTTTTTAAACATGTTGACATGGCACTCAAGGCTTGTTTAAGTGGGATGCTATGTAAATTACTTCATGGAGTTCGCTGAGCTGTTTTCAGAACTCACAGTTCATTGATCTGCATTGTTAAATATATGATTTAAGTACAATTAAAAACACGTGGGGAAAATAATGCTTGGGGAAGACTATGATAGAAAATTAGTTTTAAGAGGCTTGTTTGCTAAAATGAACTCAAAACATACATTATGAAAAATATTACCAGTGTTGGAAGAATTATCCTTCTGGGTTCAGTTGATTTGAATTTGAGCTTGTATTCTGATTGGTGGTCAGATTCCCATGGGGCCATGTACGCTGTCCTGGGTGTCCTGACTGAGCCTTGCTGGATGATGATGTAATGAAAGGGCTTTGGGCAATTCCTATTATATCTCTATCTGGAGTAGATCTTTGTTATGTAAAATAGATTGGCCAGAGTAATGGTCCATTAGCAAAGGTGGGGAGGAGCTGAGTTTCTGCCTCTCACTTTTCTTTTTAGGGGAAATATTCTGCCTTTTTTGTATATCCTAAAATATTTTATTTTCCTAGGAGAGGGGTGGGTTTTAACTTCTAACACCGGTAAAACAAAAAGTGACATGAAAAAACAGCCCCATTCTACACTGTAAAATTGAAAAGTATTCTCTCAAGATTGTATCATTAATTTATGTGTAAGATTTTAAATTGGTTTGTAGGCATGCTGCTAGTTTTTCTGCCAGTTAGAGACTTATAGCACAAAAGTAATATTAAATGGGTGAGATAAAATAATAACATAGTGTTTCAATAATAAAGCATAAGCTATTATATCATAATAAACTGCAAGTAATCTAAAAATTTTACAATCTATGAATTATAAATACTTCGCAGATTGTATTAATTTACTTCAAAATAGGAGAATAAGTCTGGTGTGGTAGTGAAGGCATCAGGCAAGAAACCAGGAGAGTGAATCACAGATTAATAATTATCTCATATATACTAGATAGTTTTTTTAGAGAGTAAACCCAGATTAGATAGGAAGCCAATGGTGTCCTTGTGCCTTCAATAGCAATAGCACTTGAACTTATGTACTACTTCATAGTCCTTTACAGTCCTTTCTAAGCAGTTTGCAGAGTCAGCATATTACCCCCAATAATCTGGGTCCTCATTTTACCAATTTTGGAAGGATGGAAGGCTGAGTCAACTGAGACGATCAGGATCAAACTCCTGGCTGTAGGCAGAGTTAGCCTGCAATCCTGCAATCTAACTACTGCACCACCATGGCTCTTCAGCGCTGGGAAGCAGGCAAGGGAAAACCACTTCCAAAATCTTATGGAGAAAATTTCAGAGACTATTCCTGGCTGATCACCAGGAGTCAAAAACTGAGACAAAAGCACACAGAAAAATCCGCAAACTAATACAATTGCAAGATTTACATAATAAACCCAAAGTGTATTGTTCAAACACAGTACAGATGGGGCAACAGCTTAGGAAAGGCTGGACTAGGGCCACTTCTTACTTCCAAATAATTCGTTGCTGGCTTCTGGTCCTATCCAGAGATTTTCCTGTAATTTTCCACAGATTTATATAGACAAGTGGTGGGAGGGAGGAAATGGCAATATGCCCGGTTTAACGAAGGGGAAAAAAGTCCCGATACATCATGTGACACCATGATGATGAGAGTTTGACACCCCTGGTGTACACCAATCTGTATGGCAGTAGAATCAGGTGCAATAAGGTAGGTGGCCAGGTGGTATGCGACAGCAGCCAAAAAAGCCAAATACAATCTGCATTAATAGAGATAAAGAATCAAGATCAAGTGAAATTGTAATACTATTATACAAAGCCTTAGTAAGACTACACTTGGAATACTGCATCCAGTTCTGCTCACCACAATATAAAAAAATGTTGAAACTTTGGAAAGAGAGCAGAGAAGAACAAGAATGATTAGGGGGCTGGAGGCTAAAGCATACAAAGACAGTTACCGGAATTGGGCATGTCCAATCTAATGAAAACAGGTATGTCCAATCTAAGGGAAATTGCATGGGTCCAATATTTGAGGAGCTCCTACAAAGACAAATGGGGGTCAAACTATTATCCAAATAAGCGAAGATAAGAAATAATAGATGGAAATTAATCAAGGAGAGAAGCAACTTAGAACTAAGGAGAAATTTCCTAATGGTGAGAGCGGTCAACCAAAGGAATACCTTGCCTTCAGAAGTTGTGGGTGCTTTCAAAAAGAAACTGAATAACCATTTCTCTGAAATGTTATAGGATCTGCTGTTTGAGCAGGTGGTTGTACTAGAAGACCCCCAAAGCCCTTTCAACTAATTCTATTTTCTATGTTCTAATGAATGTAATAAAATAAAGCAATTGGGAATGAGAAAAAGACAGCTGTAGTTACAGAATTCTGTAGCCAGATGGCAGAAGCGGTTGCCAAAGAGAGAAAAACTATATGGTTAGTAAGCAATCTGAAGAGATGATTTCCTTCTTCCCCCCACTTGTCTATACAAATCTGTGGGAAATTACTGGAAAATATTTCTGGATAATACCAGAAACCAACAATGAATTACTTGGACGTAAGAAGTGGCCCTGGTCCAGCCTTTCCTAAGCTGGTGCCCTGTCTGTTTGAACAGTAGGGAAAAGATCCAAGCTAGGAAATGAGCAACAGGAGATTGAAATCTGGAAGTAGCAGATTTCTGTTGACATCAGCAAATATCAAATATTGCTCCTTGAAAATTAGAACTTTGTGTTCAATAAATATTTCCTTGTTCTCTCAAGGATCTTGGCCTGTATCTATCTCTCATCTGAATGTCCCTCCCATCCAAGGTACTTGGATGTAGTAAGGGACCCCAGGCAAGCTGTCTTAGCCAGATTTAAAGTAAATGGGATGGGATGAATAAATGTGTTGATCAATATCATATAAACTGTGGAGACTGATCAGTAATGTATGTTACGTATGTGGGGTTTTGTTTTCAATTCATGTCTTGTGTAAACTCACCCAGCTGTGTTTCAGTAAACCATTATTTAACATGATCTGAGAATCTAATTGAATCAGGGTAAAGGTCAAATTCCTTTGTCCTGGTCAAATACCATCCTCACGTCTCTTCAAAATTCTCCAGTTTCTCTTCTGCCTCTACCAAAATCACTAAGCATCCATCAATTTCTGAGGAAGATGTAAAGTGGAAAACAAAAAGTAACTTATTACATTGATTTCTCCCAAGAGTATTTTGAGGCCCTGTGTCACTGATCCTACCACAGGAAATTTCACATTCTACCTCTGCATATTAAAAACAAACTCCAAGAGCATCCAAGAATAACATTGCAACAAGCAGGCTACCCACCTACAAATATTAGTGGTTTGAGGTCATGAAGCATTCTTCATATTCCTTTTCTTTGAATGCCCCTTTCTAGACTACACTAGACTAGACTAGACTAGAAAAACTAGAGTAGAGTAGAGTAGAGTAGAGTAGAATACTTTATTGGCCAAGCATGGATTAGACACACAAGGAATTTGTCTTGGTGGAAATGCTCTCAGTGTACATAAAAGAAAAGATACATTCATCAAGAGTCAAGAATCATAAGGTACAACACAATGATACTCATAGGGTACAATAAGAAATGGAATCATGCTAGGAAACAGCCAATATAAATCGTAAGGATACAAGCGACAAAGTTACAGTCATACAGTCACAAGTGGGAGGGAAAGGAGTGATGAGAAGATTAATAGTAATAGTAGTGCAGACTTTGTAAATAGTTGGACAGTGTTGAGGGAATTATTTGTTTAGCAGTGATGGCGTTCGGGGAAAAACTGTCCTTGTGTCTAGTTGTTCTGATGTGCAGTGCTCTATAGCGTTGTTTTGAGGGAAGGAGTTGAAACAGTTGATGTGAGGGGTCTGTAAATATTTTCACAGTCCCACT